TTTGGGGGGGGGGGGGAGAGGGGAACGATTTTAGATTAGTCGTTGGTTGATTTGTTATTGATTGTGTGGTTAATTTATTTATTTTTGGTTTGTTTTATTGATTGTCTAGTTTATTTATTTATTGTTTGGTGGATTTATTTATTGTTTAATAGATTTATTGATTGTCTCGTGGATCGATTGTTTCTACAATAAATGATGGATTTAAATGAGTTTAAATTCATTTATCGGTTGGTTATTTTTTTAAATGTATTTGGTACATATTGATTGATTGATTGATTGATTGATTGATTGATTAATTGATTAATTTATTGATTAGTTGATTATATATAGTTAAGTAGATTTGGTAAATCTAGATAGATGATTGACTAATGTTAACATTTATTTGATTATTCTAGATTGATAATTGATGATTGATTGATTGATTGATTGATAACAATTTATTTGATGAATAAAGGTTGATAATTGATTTCCACAACTACAGTCACACCATCCTAGCAATGTCCAGCGGTGAATCGAGTCCTATTGTTAAACTAACAGGTCTTTCTTTTCGATAATATTAGAAATGGATTCCGAAAAAGCTGTGATCCACCAAAAAAAAATAATGAATTCAATGCTTAAAAGATTCTTCTCTGAAAAAAAAAATATTTATTTTCATTTCTTAGGTTTTTATAAAAAATGCGAGTTAAAACATTTTACTTCAGGTTTTGTTGAGAAAATATTTGGTCAAACCGCTGAAGCTGCATTCTGTGTTACACAGGTATTATTATTGTTACCATTTTTAGTCGAATTATCATTCCATATGTTTATTCTTGGAAAATTCTCCCCTCTTCCCTTTTAAACATTATTTCTCCCCCCCCCCAAGTTATGAATATTTGCTTGGAGAGGAAAGTGGAGCGGGGGGGTGTAGTTCATCGCTTAATTATAAAAAGTAGATAATTTTTTCGGACAAAAAGTTCCAACATGAAAGCTTCAATGGTTCCCAGCTAGGCTAGAGTTCCATAAGCAGGCTAATCTCAAAGACTTCAATGGTTCCCAGTTAGGCTAAAGTTCCATAAGCAGGCTTATCTCAAAGACTTCAATGGTTCCCAGTTAGGCTAGAATTCCATAAGCAGGCTTATCTCAAAAGCTTCAATGGTTCCCAGCTAGGCTATAAGTTTGGATAACACAGCATAATTACGTTTTTCAGAAAATATTTATGTCGTCGTTTTAATTCAATATTGGTAACACTTAAAAATATATTTTTTCAGACCACCTGCTAAATTCCGCCCAATTTCAATAGCAGAAAAGCATGAGCTATTAATGAGGTAGATTTTTAATTTAAAGGTGTTTGCGAAAAATGAAAGGGGTATAGGCTTGCGACGAAAAATAAGCGCTTTTGATCGCTACTAATCTTACATCTGTTGCGTATATAAGGAGAAAATTGTTACAAACGACTTATACCGAAGGACGTAGCGTCCATACAAATTCAGAAAGTTGCTAACTTTCAACATTCAACTTGGATCGTAAAATAATCAATTTAATTCCAAACAAATCATTCAGTTTTTACAAACAATAGTCATCGATCATTTTTCGACGCATTCATATTTAGTTAATATTTCATAATTCTTTTGATTTTGTTTTTTAAATAATATTTTGCTGGCGTTGGATTTTCGAACATTCCTGGAAAATATGAAAATGTCGTTTTCATTATCAAAATCCTCGAAACAGGAATAAATGTTTTCAAAAGTCAGTCACAGATCATGAACAAAAAAAATATTATTAAATATCAACTTTATACAAATGAGTCGAAAAATTATCGATGACTATTTTTTTTAAGAACTGAATGATTTGTTCGGAATTAATTTGAGTTGTTTACGATCCGAGTTAAATGTTGCAACTTTCTGATTTAGATTATAATGACAGAGATATATGCATCGATGTAGGTTGGAAGTAATTTATCCTGATTTTAGAGGACCTGGGCATGCATCCGTGTATCCATGTATCCATGTATCCATATAGGTTAGAGTAATATATCCTAAGTGAAAGGAGGGGGGGATATTCATGTATCCATGTATCCATGTATCCATATAGGTTAGGAGTAATATATCCTAAGTGAAAAGGAGGGGGGGATACTCATGTATCTATGTATCCATGTTTCCATATAGGTTGGGAGTAATATATCCTTAGTGAAAAGGAGGGGGGAATATTCATGTTTCCATGTATCCATGTATCTTTATAGGTTAGGAGTAATATATTCTAAGTGAAAAGGAGGGGGGGATATTCATGTATCCATGTATCCATGTGGTTAGGAGTAATATATCCTAAGTGAAAAGTAGGGGGGATATTCATTTATCCATGTATCCATGTTTCCATATAGGCTGGGAGTTATATATCCTAAGCTGATAGCAATGACGGATATCCATGTATATATATGTAGCAATGTAGCATGGGAGCTATGTATCCTGAATAAAAAGAAAAGACGGATATCCATATATCTACAATCTACATAGATTGGAAGGCATGTATCCTAAGTTTAGAGACGGACGGATATTGGATATCCATGTATCTATAAAGGTTGGGAGTCACGTATCCTGAGTTGCGAGGAGGGACGGATAAATCTACTCAGTTCACGGAGGAAATAGAAGGAGAAGTTACCCTTAGAAACTACAGACCTGGTAAATTAATCATTAATTGATTGAATGCAATAAGATATTAAATTATAGGTTTTAAAAGTTTTTTTTTTGTCAAAAATACGAAAGATAGCATCCTTATATCGTTGCATCCTAAGTCGAAGACCTTATATATTTCAAACTATAAATTCTGTTAGATTAAAATATCTAAATTTGAAATTTTAACACCACCAGATTGCAAAGATATAGGGATTCGAAAATTTGAGTTTGTCACAAAGACTCAATTCCTTTGTTCCACCAGGATTGTTGGTTAGTTCCACTTCCTGGACACAGGACGAGGATTTCTCCATACTTCTTTCAGCACTACAGGAATATGAAGCTAGGTACTGGAGAGAATCTAACAGCATTAAAGTGAAAATTAAAAACAGAATTTAGAAAAATTTGTCTAATTTTTTAAGTCAATTGCTGCCTACTTTTTGATAAGATTTTCCTTATGATTTTCCCAGAATGTTAATATGAACAGAATGATAATAATGTTTGCTTTTTCAACTTTTTAGAACAAAACGGGGGGGGGGGGAAATTTCTAGATGTTGAAACTTTTAATGAGATAGAGATAAGCTTCGTACTTTTAAATCCAGGAGTTTCATTCATGAAGTGTCACCACATCAGATCTTCATTTTATAGTTACTCCCGCCGTTTACCCGCGCTTGGTCGTTAATTAAGATTTTCGCTAGTTTTCCCTACGAAAGTCTACCTACTCAACGTAGAACCTCAAAAACAATCTAAGAACATTCCCGTGGTTCTCCCGAGCTTCCCAATAAAAATTTGAGGCAAATCGGTCAAGAGGTTCAAGAGTAATGGTCGGACATACAAACAAACAAATAGATTACTACTTTAAATAAATGGATAATAATTTGAAATTTAGTGATGACGGAGACAAGCTTCCTCGTCTAATCTGTATCATCACAGGAAAAGGAGAACTGAAGGAAAGCAAACCAGAAGTGTTCATATCCCCCATCCTGATGCTTTTAAGTGGTGGGGGGGGGGGCAGTGGAACATGATGTTTTTTACTGTGCATTATGGAGGTTTGAGGTTATTTTAAAAATTTAGATTAGGATAGTTTTAAGTTTTGTGTGGTAGAAGGAATAATATAATATATATAGAAAATATCTCAACCTCAACCAAGTCTTCGGTACGTATTGCAGTAATCTTCATTGCACTGACCAAAGCTATTGTATTCTTATAGTGGAGAGTGATCTGATCTCCCCCCTTTCCCAAAATATGACCTTTCTGGGGGGGGGGGGGGTTACCATCAATATGGGAGCGGAGAGGCATGCTAAAAATTTAGGGGGGGAAAGTTTCAAAGTTTGGTTTGGTATCAGGAATATTATATGAAGAAGATATCTGATCTAAATCTGAAGAAAATCAAGGTTCTGACACCTTGGCTCGAGGCTGAGGACTATCCTCTACTCCTAGCCTCAGCAGATATAGGGGTATCCTTACACTCTTCATCTTCAGGTAGTTATTCATTCATTTATTCTCTCATCCTTTCTTTAATCCACTCATTCATTCAAACATTCTTTAATTCATCCTTTCATGTACCTATTCATTCAAATATTAGTTTACTGCTTCCATCATTTATTGATACATTCATCATTTTTTTTAGAAAAGAACCTTTTCGGAAATCACTTCATTATTGCACTAAATATACACGTATTATGTTTTTTCTTTTTTCCTTTTTTGTTTATTAGTTGAAATTTTTTCATTCAATCATTCATACATTCTGTTGTTTAGGTTTAGACCTTCCGATGAAAGTAGTTGATATGTTTGGTTGTGGTTTACCTACTGCAGCCTTGAAGTTTAAAGCTATAGGTAGGTAGGTAGGTTAGGATATGTTTGGTTGTGGTTTACCTACTGCAGCCTTAAAGTTTAAAGCTATAGGTAGGAAGGTAGGGATATGTTTGGTTGTGGTTTACCTACTGCAGCCTTGAAGTTTAAAGCTATAGGAAGGTAGGGATATGTTTGGTTGTGGTTTACCTACTGCAGCCTTTAAGTTTAAAGCTATAGGTAGTTAGGTAGGGATATGTTTGGTTGTGGGTTACCTACTGCAGCCTTTAAGTTTAAATCTATAGGTAGGTAAGTAGGTAGGGATATGTTTGACTGTAGATTACCTACTGCAGCCTTAAAGTTTAAAGCTATAGGTAGGTAGGTAGGGATATGTTGGTTTGTGCGTTACCTACTGCAGCCTTGAAGTTTAAAGCTATAGGTAGGTAGGTAGGGATATGTTTGGTTGTGGTTTACTTACTGCAGCCTTAAAGTTTAAAGCTATAGGTAGGAAGGTAGGGATATGTTTGGTTGTGGTTTACCTACTGCAGCCTTTAAGTTTAAAGCTATAGGTAGTTAGGTAGGGATATGTTTGGTTGTGGGTTACCTACTGCAGCCTTTAAGTTTAAATCTATAGGTAGGTAAGTAGGTAGGGATATGTTTGACTGTAGATTACCTACTGCAACCTTGAAGTTTAAAGCTATAGGTAGGTAGGTAGGTAGGGATATGTTGGTTTGTGGGTTACCTACTGCAACCTTGAAGTTTAAAGCTATAGGTAGGTAGGTAGGGATATGTTGGTTTGTGGGTTACCTACTGCAGCCTTGAAATTTAAAGCTACAGGTAGGTAGGTATGGATAATGGATATGTTTGGTTGGGGTTCACCTACTACAGTCTTTAAATTTAAAGCTATAGGTAAATTAGGAATAGGTTTCAAATCTTGTTTTTTATTCAATAAAACAATATTTTAATCGAACATTTTCATGGAACATTTTTAGAAAAGCTTTTGATCTTCAAAAAGAAAAATATCTGGAAAAAAATAAAATAAAATAAAGATGATCTCTGATAAAAGAAATTTTATTTACTAATAAAATGACCACAAGAAAAGGAAAAAATATCAAAATTGAAAAAAGAAATATTTTCTAAACTGTAAAAATTTTTATTGGTAGAACCGATTTTAATTTTTATTTTCATAATGTTGTCTCATTTGTTCAATTTGCGAAGTTTTGACTAATGAAAGATCAGCTGAACTCCAAATCGATTTAAATCAGTTACATCAAAAGCTCACTCTGGATTGAATTTTTGAATTTTCTTAGGCGAGCTGGTTAAAGACGGAGAAAACGGAGAACTATTCGAGAATAGCTCCGGGTTGAGTAGTATACTGGTAGACTGGTTTAAAGGGTTCCCAGAGAATTCTTCTCCTAAACATGATAAATACAGGTATTCCCCCCCTCCCCCCAATGCATTATAAAGCCGAAATTATTTCCCCCATTGCACGTTTTTTATGATCATTATTTGATAGCTTTTGAGAGATTATTATTAGATGAAAGTTTAGCTTTGTAATCTCCGTAATCTCTACTTAAAAGTACCCTCCATTAAAAAAAAAAGAAAGTAGCATTTTTGATTGATTATAGTACCTTTTATACCCTTACATAGATAACAAATAACAACAATAATGCCTCTACTTGAACCATTTTAGATAGAAGGCACAATAATAACCAGTTTTTGAAAGGGATAGATCTCACCATTCATTGCTGATTATACAACGTTACTGTTGTAAATCGGACATGCCACTCAATACATGGCGGGTCAGGGTCACTTAAATTCCCAACCACGAAATATATAAAAGATTATTTCAATCAACAGCAGGGACGGTGTATCTAGTTCTGTTTGAAAATGAAAAATGAATAAATGAAAAAAGGGGGATGGGAAGGGGAAAAGGAAAAAGGGAAAGGAAAAGTGGAAGAGGGAAGGGTAAAGGGAAGAGGGAAGGGTAAAGGGGCAAAAGGGAAGGGAAAAGGGGCAAGAGAGAAGGGAAAAAGGGGGAAGGGAAGGGAAAAAATCGCAAAAAATCAGGGGTGACCTTGAAGTTGACCTTTTAAGGCAGGGGGCGGAAACGTCATGTGTGTGTGTCCGAACTCGTCTGCAAAGTAGTGCGACCGGCTTTCTAATGCCAGACCAGCGCCATTTCCTTTCCCTTTATTCCTATTCCCTGTTTTTAGGGCAACCAAACGCTCCATAATATTTATAAATCTCAAAAATTTTCCTTTGCAAGGGGGGCTCTGCCCCTTGCACCTTAGGGTAGTACTTTAGTGAGTAGTAAGTCCTGTTAATTCAAATTTTTTGTCTAGATCTGAGCTAGAGAAGTTTAGAGAGCTGAGCTGGGACGTAAACTGGAGAAGGAATGCTATCCCTGTGATCAGATCTCTGGAAATCCAATCCTCTTCAATACTTCCTTCTCTCATCTTCTTCTTATTTCTTACTCTTATTCTAATCTCATATTTTCCAGCTGTAAACTGAGGTTAGGATTAGTTTGTGGTTAGTTGAGATGTAACAACCAATCAGAGTCTAAAACTAAAGAACGAAAAGTTACGACTTAAATGTTAAGCTTCAGCTTAAATTCTACTTCTGACTTAATTTTAACCTGAATTTTAACCCTGAGTTTAAATATTTAACTCGCCAAAATCAACGAGTTAAAATTAAAACCCAGGGTTAAAATCTTGAAATCCCGCATTTCCTAATTTGTGTACCAATCAATCATAATTCAGCTGAGAAAGCGACATCCAACTTTACGATATATTTAAAAGTGAAAACCTTGATTGAATAAATTTCACGTTTTAGATTAATTAATGTTTGCACGTAAACCCAAAAAACGGTTGTAACTGGAAATATGTTTAGTTTTCGACTGTGATCAGATCTCTGGAAATCCAATCCTCTTCAATTCTTCCTTCTCTCATCTTCTTCTTCTTTCTTACTCTTATTCTAATCTCATATTTTCCAACTGTAAACTGAGGTTAGGATTAGCTTGTTAGTTGACATGTAACAACCAATCAGGTTTGCACGTAAACCCAAAAAACGGTTGTAACTGGAAATATGTTTAGTTTTCGGTTACGTAAATAATTTAAAATAAAAAAAAACAGCTGTTTAGCGATGGTTACCTAATATCTCTTCGTAAATCCTTTTCTCTGATTGGTTCAGACTTTTCCCGGGAAATTCAAATTTGTAGGGTTAAATTGAGAAAGTTTAATATTTAAGTAGCAACTCATTATTTTACAGAACTTTTAACCTATAACTTAAATTCTTTAGTTTTAGACTCAGAAGCCAGTATTCTTGTCTTTAATGAAAATTTGTTTAATTGCTAATCTAAAATCAAGATTTTATTACGGTGGTAGCGATTTATATAATAAAGACGCTTTTAAACAGATCATGGATGCACAAAAAAGAAATAAAGCTTCTCTTTAATTACTTTTTTTTTCAACAGTCAACTGTTCAGAGATTTGTTTTCATCAATAAAAATGTTTTTTTGTTTTGTTTTTTTTAATTGATATTTTGGCGCTTGGATTCAGACCCGGGTCCAGGGAGGATCCGGATCCTGAGCACTGCATTTGTTTGTTTAGCTGTGAAGACCTGTATTTTCTGTGATCAAATGTGTTTTATTGTTTTTTTTTGTCAAAAAAATATTATTACCATTGTAAATGATTTTTGTGTTTCACTTTCATGACAGACAGATGAGACCCATTACACTAGAGAATAGAAAGACTACCTTTAGACTCAAGTTATGACTGTAAAGAATTCACTCTCCACTAAACCCCACTAATTAACTGACATAAAACAGAGACTGTAGAAATTGTGCTTAATAAGCTTATTTTCAAGCGACAAACTGGTAGAACTATGAACAATATTATTATTTATATTGTTATTATAATTATTTCGTTTAGCGTTAAATTTCAAAATATTACAATATCAAATACACAAAGTATTGCTTAAATGTCGTCTTATTATTTCACAGTTTTATGGGTCTCGCTTTGTATTTTTAACAGGGTTTTATCTCAAACTCCATTTTCTTATTTTAAACATGGATATAAAATAAAAACTTCAACATCCACTGAACGCGTTCAGTGGATGTTGAATACTTAATATCAGTAGTTGCAGGGTTACCCACAAAGGATGATACTTAATATCAGTAGTTGCAGGGTTACCCACAAAAAGAATGATACTTAATATTAGTTGCAGGGTTACCCACAAAGGATGATACTTAATATCAGTAGTTGCAGGGTTACCCACAAAGAATGATACTTAATATCAATAGTTGCAGGGTTACCCACAAAGGATGATACTTAATATCAGTAGTTGCAGGGTTACCCACAAAGGATGATACTTAATATCAGTAGTTGCAGGGTTACCCACAAAGGATGATACTTAATATCAGTAGTTGCAGGGTTACCCACAAAGGATGATACTTAATATCAGTAGTTTCAGGGTTACCCACAAAAAGAATGATACTTAATATCAGTAGTTGCAGGGTTACCCACAAAGTATGATACTTAATATCAGTAGTTGCAGGGTTACCCACAAAAAGAATGATACTTAACATCAGTAGTTGCAAGGTTACCCACAAAGGATGATACTTAATATCAGTAGTTGCAGGGTTACCCACAAAAAGAATGATCTTAATATCAGTAGTTTCAGGGTTACCCACAAAAAGAATGATACTTAATATCAGTAGTTGCAGGGTTACCCACAAAGGATGATACTTAATATCAATAGTTGCAGGGTTACCCACAAAGGATGATACTTAATATCAATAGTTGCAGGCATATTTATGAACGTCTTGTTTTACTATATAGCTCGACTTTGATAGACTTTTTTCTAAGTTTTGGTTCCTTGAAACTGGAAGTTTTGTTTTCAAGGCCAATTCATTACATGCAACATTTTAGGACGGAATTTAATGTTAAATACCAATTTAAACATTCTTATTTTTATATTTTTAGATTTTTGGGTCATTAATTAATCTACTCATCATTTGTATGGGTGACAAAACTATTGTGGTTTATAGGCTAAATCCCTGAATTCTTACATCGTTACCCTTTAAATCTTTGTCAAATCAAGTATTAATTAGATATTCATGTTTTTGTTTTTAAAAACTGATTCTTTGCATTTGTGGTGGTATCTCTACTAAAGTGACTTGCGCTTTTTGCCTTTTTAGAGAAATAAACAGAATTAACAGATGTTGGCCAGGTTTCAAAGATACTGTTGTGAATTGGGCTGTTTATATAGAGGGTCCATAGAAATTACAAGGACTGAGTCCTAATACAACGAAGTTTAAAGTTCTGCTAATGTTTTCATCTTTATTTCAACTTCTTTCATTATACTCAGCAAATCCTGAAAACATAAATAAACTACAGTCGTAGTCGCATATATCAATACAACGAACACGACTTTCGACTTCAATGTAAATTTATATCAAGCTGTTAAACAGCACGGATATATATATAAACATGGAAGTCAAGATAAGCTTATCTTTGATTACTTTTCAAGTTGTTTAATTTGTTAACAATCAAAACTTAAATAAAAAAGTCGTCTTCATAGATACCTGTAGTTCCGGAACAGTACAATGGAACACCAAACCCGAATCACCAGGAACACCATTATAACCTTTCTAAAAATTCAATCTTGTTACTTTTCTTAAAATATCATATTTTTGCGGAAATCCGAATGCATTTTTTAAAGATTTTTATATGTCAAAAAAAGGAAATTATATTTTTGCGAAATTACTGCTACGACGGGCGCTGTAAGCAAACTTGTTGGGTTGCATACTCTTGCTTTGGTTGCTAGGATCCATTTTTAAACTTGTAGGGTTGCATACTCTTGCTTTGGTTGCTAGGATCCATTTTTAAACTTGTTGGGTTGCATACTCTTGCTTTGGTTGCTAGAATTCATTTTTAAACTTGTTGGGTTGCATACTCTTGCTTTGGTTGCTAGTATCCATTTTTAAACTTGTTGGGTTGCATACTCTTGCTTTGGTTGCTAGGATCCATTTTTAAACTTGTTGGGTTGCATACTCTTGCTTTGGTTGATAGGATCCATTTTTAAACTTGTTGGGTTGCATACTCTTGCTTTGGTTGCTAGAATCCATTTTTTAAACGTCAACTAGAATATCCTTCAGTCAAAAAATAGGTCCGAGTTCGGATCTGGAAAAAGTGCATGAATATTTCTTCTTGATTTATTAACTTATTTTACTAAAACAAAATTTGTTAAACCCCTAATTTTTGCTTTTTATGCTGAAACTTGATTTCACCATCCTGAGCACATTTAGGGTTTATCATTCCTTCATTAGGTTTCAATTAAGATTTGAGTTTTAGACTCAATATTTCTTAATAAAGGGTTTCTAAAATAGGATGCGACTTAGAGACGACTGTACAGAATTTCCTGATATTTATGGATTCCAGCTGCAGCTACTGGTAAAATTTCTTTCTTTTCCTAATCATTAAAAAAGCGCAATTAAGACTGTATATCCTTGGCAGAATACCTTATTTAACCCTGGAAAGGAGATAAAGACTGTATATCCTTGGCAGAATACCTTATTTAACCCTGGAAAGGAGATAAACACTGCATATCCTTGACAGAATACCTTATTTAATCCTGGAAAGGAGATAAAGACTGCATATCCTTGGCAGAATACCATATTTAACCCTGGCAACTAGATAAACACTGTATATCCTTGACAGAATACCATATTTAACCCTGGAAAGGAGATAAAGACTGCATATTCTTGGCAGAATACCTTATTTAACCCTGGAAACTAGATAAAGACTGTATATCCTTGGCAGAATACCTTATTTAACCCATGGAAACAAGATAAAGACTACATATCCTTGGCAGAATACCATATTTAACCCTGAAAACTAGATAAAGACTACATATCCTTGGCAGACTATATTTAACCCTGGAAACTAGATAAAGACTGCATATCCTTGGCAGAATACCTTATTTAACCCTGGAAACTAGATAAAGACTACATATTTTTGACAGAATACTATATTTAACCCTGCCAACTAGATAAACACTGCATATCCTTGGCAGAATACCTTATTTAACCCTGGAAACTAGATAAAGACTGCATATTCTTGACAGAATACCTTATTTAACCCTGGAAACTAGATAAAGACTGTATATCCTTGGCAGAATACCTTATTTAACCCTGGAAACTAGATAAAGACTGTATATTCTTGTCAGAATACCTTATTTAACCCTGGAAAGGAGATAAAGACTGCATATCCTTGGCAGAATACCTTATTTAACCCTGGAAGCTAGATAAAGACTGCATATTCTTGGCAGACTACCTTATTTTACCCTGGAAAGGAGATAAACACTGCAAATTCTTGGCAGACTACCTTATTTAATCCTGGAAGCTAGATAAAGACTGTATATTCTTGGCAGAATACCATATTTAACCCTGGAAACTAGATAAGACTGCATATCCTTGGCAGAATACCATGTTTAACCCTGGAAACTAGATAAAGACTGCATATCCTTGACAGAATACCTTATTTAACCCTGGAAACTAGATAAAGACTGCATATTCTTGGCAGAATACCTTATTTAACCCTGGAAAGGAGATAAACACTGCATATTCTTGGCAGAATACCTTATTTAACCCTGGAAACTAGATAAAGACTGTATATCCTTGGCAGAATACCTTATTTAACCCATGGAAACAAGATAAAGACTACATATCCTTGGCAGAATACCATATTTAACCCTGAAAACTAGATAAAGACTACATATCCTTGACAGAATACCTTATTTAACCCTGGAAACATCTTTGAAGAGTTTCAGGTTGTCTTTACAGTCTCATCCATTGTTGCAAACCCTGGATGTTTTCGTTGGAACCTGGATTCGGATACAAATTTTCCAAAACCTTCTCTTCATTTCGAATTTTTTTTTTCTATGAAATTTGAATAGACCTGCTTATCTAGGATGAATTGTATTGTGTAGAGAAGATCTCCTCTTCTTCCTTGAATACTGTCCTGATCATTGTCAATTACAAGTTAAGGAATCGGTTTTATATGTTTTTAAACATTAAAGTTTTTGGGTATTCAAAGCCCCTGGAAAATCTAAGAATTTTAAATTTTTTTATTCTTTATGGATAAAACTTTTATGTTTAACAAGTTTTTTTAGGTCATGCAAAAAATTGCTTTTCAAGTGCATACAAATTTTTCATATTTTATTGATGACATTTTTATTTTGTTTTTAATTTTATTTGATTTTCGATCTTGACCATTTTTTGGGTATTTTTAATTAATATGAAAGCGATGAGAGAAAATACGAAAATTTTGCTTCAGATAACTAAAAATCCCTATATCTCTACAACCTGATGGTGTTAACCTTTGATATTTCAAACAACGTATATTTGATCTGCCGGAATTTATAGTTTAAAATATCAAAGGTCTACGAGCTCTGGTGGCAAGTATGTAAAAGGTTTAAAAATCAGAATTTGTGTGAAAAAATAAGTTTTCTTTAAACAATTTTTTTGAGTTCCTGAATTGTTTACCTCTAAAATACACTCCAGTTTCCATCTAAATTTAAAGCTTTTTTTGGACATGCACTGGGTACCATGGTGGGGAGATACAAATGATGAGAATGTAATGACGACATGAAACTCATTAAGTATTTATAAGATATGAAGGTCAAACTCGGGGTTCTTCCTAAATTTTGGATTTTAATGGAATACTAAAACATTTGGCAAAGATATAATCATGTTTACAGAAAAGACTAGAGTAAATTCCGTGCAGTCGTCTCTGAAGTGTGGTTAACCCTGTATCTAGGGAACAACATAGATACAAAGATAAAAGGAACAGAGTATTTGCCACAAACTTCATTTTTCTCATCCCTCGTAAGTATCTTTACAACCTGCTGCTATGTAAACCTTTGACATATTTCAAACTTTTACTTTTGATAATAATTAGTTTTGAAATTTTTGAAATTTTTGATCGCAGTTTTCATTGTTTGAAACAAAAATTGAACTGTCTTTACGACTTCAGACTTAAAGATACATAAATTTATAAAATATGAGTTTAAGACGAGTAATCAGATCTTATATAATTGATTTCAGTCGTGATGAGGTACTTAATTAGTCATCTCTGATTTGTATTACATTGTTTTATCATGTACCAAAACAATATATATAAAGCTGTTAACCCTGAGACGACTTCATACAGATTTCATTCAGTTTTTGAAAACAGTTTTGTTGTACAGAGTTACAGACTTTAATGAATAATAGGAACTCTTTAAATACAAGAGTTCAGTAAAATATGTTTTTGTAAATCAAACGATTTTGCATGAACAAATTGACAACTGCGGTGCACCCTGAACAACAACAAGAGACTGAATAAGTTACGTGAAGTCATCTCTGAGGTCGCATCCTTTATGGGTAATTTTATTTCAGAATTGCTGAAGTCTAAATTGAACCCTCAGATCGTAATATTTCAAAAGGTCTGCAGGTCGCTGTTAATATTATTTCCTTCTTCTTACGGGTAACCCTGTAATCGAAAAAATTATTATTCCTTTAAAAAATGGTTCTTAATTTGATATATAAATTTTTGAATTAGCGGGATTCAATGAGTGTTTTTTTTATAAATAAGCTTTCCTAACGTCCACAAGTTTCGGAGTAAACGTGCCAATCTTGAGCATACAACGGGTTAGTTGAAACCGGTTTTCAGAGAACAAGTTTACTAAAACTGTAAAAAAAAAATATTATAAAATCTAAAATTTTGTCTCGCTAAAAATCAATGCAAAATTTTTCTGTTATTAAAATATAACCATCAAAATCAATAAACAAGAAACACACGCTACAAACTTAAATAAAAGCGCTTTTAAATGAAACCAAAACAAATGCTCATGTTGCCTATTTTTGCCTAATTTTGCATATTTTTGTAAACTCTATATTTACAAAATTTTTTGAACAAATATAAACTACACAATTCATATATGTATAATAAATATTTTGTTGGTAAATAAACCTAAAACTAATATATGAATATTCGAATTTTTATATTTACCCTTTCTCTGTTCCTATAATGGATAAACTTGAAAAAAATACTTTTTACAAAATATTGAGATCAAGCTTTGATATCCGGAGGAATCCGACCTAAAGGGTCTTATTTGAGTATTATGTATTAAGTACCGAATAGTTTTAACTCCCCACGCGTTTTTAATGATTTAAACCGTCTCCCCATTAAACAACTGAATCTAACCGCAGCCAAAAAAATATTAGAACTCTAACTTTAATGGTTAGGGTTCAACGGAGGATTTTAAAAAAGTTAAAAAAGTGCATCGAAAAATGTTTAAAAATAATTATTTCAAATTTGACAATTATTAACATGTAGCACATGTTGTTACATCCATTTTTCAAGGGCTTTTTAAATATATAAACTTAAGTCATGCAGCTTTATTAATAAAAAAGTTATTAAGCATTTCTGGTTTTTTGAAACACTAACCCACTGTTAAGCTGTCCTTCATCTTAATATGCATCAAAAAAAAATTAGACAAAATTTGTTCAGAATTAACTATGAATTTGAAAAAGTGAAGAATTATAAAACTCATTTTAAAAATGTCAAGACGACATTTGATAAATTCTTCCTATGTATTCGTTATTAAGGGTTTCACTGTATATGAATTTTTTGTGAAGTATCGTTAATCTTTTAAATGTGAGCATCGTAAAAATTTGTTATGTATATCCAAAACTTCAAAAAGTTAAATTAATTTATATATTATATGATACTTATAAACGTTTGACATTTGATATTTTGATATTTTGGCATAAATTGTTGATTCTTTATTTTAAGGCATTGCATCTCTGGAGAATATGTGTCAAATATCGGATATCTAAGAGCAATTAAATTAAACAGTATAGGTCTGCATTAGCTATAGAGATTAATGCTTCATTGTTTTATTTCTGACTTAAAAAAATACTTCCATTGAAAACTTCAAAAATTTCAACAATTTTTCCCACAATCTAATTTTATTTAAATACCTCAACAATTTTCTCGCTGATAAGTTCCTCTATCACTTTTTCCACTGAAATTAATTTAAAAATTCTGATTTATTATTAAATTATCTTTATCAATTATTCGTTAAGGCAATGACATGTCCGATCTACAACGGTACCCTTAAAAGATTTGGATGATTTGGCGTATTTCTGCTATAAAAAATATCCAATGAAGGATCTTGTGAAAATTAAACATTTTTTAGATAGAAAATTTTACATTACTCATCCAATCTATAAGGTTTAACACCGTTTTGAATCGGATCTACCTCATGCCTTTTAAATGAAATATTAATTGAAATCACGACAGTCCTTTTGCACTATTTTCAAATTAGAATAAAACATTTTAATTCTTGTTTTACAGGTTTTTTCCCCCTTTTTTACTGAGTTCTATGGACTCCATCTTGTTTATGAGATTCGCTCCATGGTCCTCCAATAATTTTCGGAAGCTCAAGTCTGCTCCATTTTGCTCCATCATATTTTCTGATTTTAAAAGAAGATTTAGACTAATGGGAATAATACGGAGCAGTTTGCTGCAAAATATCTTTTTAAATGAAGAAACAAAATCGCGTTAAAACATTTTGTAGATGATTTACTCACATGTATTTTCATTTTTAAGGAGCCGCAATCATCTTTTTCATGTAAACTTGAACAATTTTGTACTTTTAAAGGAACAATTCATATTCAAAATAGCAGAAAAAGCTAATATATAATAATTGATCATGCTTACATGAAAACTTTGCTGTTCAATCAAAAAGTTACTGAACATTCTGTTTCTATAGTCACTAACAATTTTTTTTTGATTTCTTCGACAGCGTCTTTGATCCATTTTTCAAGTTTTTCTTTTTTTCGCATATAATGGAAATCCTATATAATATCCACATTTTGTGAACTAACAGAATAAATCACAAAGCTTGTTAATGATAATACATGTTTAGACAATGTGTATATCGGAATATTTGCTGCCCTTGTTTGATCTCATATTGAATATCCATGCCTCAAGAAATGTACAATATACATTATACACTAACCAGTGATAACCAGAAAACTCTAAAATATGAAAACGACTGTTAAAATCAAGTTATAACTTTTAAAAGTCCAATGAGCATGATACACAGCAATTGTGCAGTTCAAACAGACCCATTTCACTAAATTAGTGATTTAAAAAGTGCCTAGTTAAACTATTGGCTTTGTATTAACATCATATACACTTAAGTATTCTTATAATGCCGTTTTTCTTAATCCACTGTTTTCCTGTAGCACTTATGGAAAAACTACATTTAATGGGTAAAAATGGACTCTAGACTCGCTGGACGTTTAACCAGGACCTCTACATAGGGCCTGGCAAACGTTATTTACTATAGTTGATTGTTATTAGTGTTTCCAGTGAAAAGCATACATCGTTTCGCGAAAATTTTGCATTTTTTATGTTATTAAGTTAGGAGCATGTACATATTTTAAGCAACCAAATAAATTTGTTTTCATCAACCTTGGCCGAAAAATCAACACTAGAGGAGCTACGTGGTCACAAAGGCGTATCTGTAGTCATATTGCATTTGTCCCTTTCCATAAGTCTAAATTGGAGTATGTAACCGAAAAGCAATTTAGAGGACAAAATAAATAACGTATTCCTTAAAATTTGCGTTCTCTACTTCTGTATTTCATAAATTTATATAAAAAATAATCTTCAAATCTTTAATTTTTATTATTTAATTACATATCTGTTGTCAAAATACCATAGAAAAATTTAAATTTACATAATATGTTAAATCGAAGAATTCAAACATTATAATTTACTGGCATATCGTTCTTACATTTAGTTTCCAAAATTGTATGTATATCACATTTATACTTGTCCAATCAATCATCATTCAATCATTCATTCTGATTCAGCTTTTAGATCTACTGGATATAGTCACCAATACAGTAGTTGCAGGCACCCTCTCCAAGAACATCTCTCATGCAAACAAAGTCAGCATGTCCTTCTGTCTTCTGGCAAACACGGGCAGCAGCGAGAATAGGAGTAGAGCAGGCGGCGCAACGAACCTGCTTGCAATGCTCTTCATCCTTGGGCCACCAGATAGCCTGGCAAACAAGAGGCCAGTCAGCCAGACTCCAGTCTCCAATCGGAGGTGGACTGATTTCTGGGAGGTCGGGGAGTTCAGAAGGAAGATCAATTCCGAAGCTAGAGAGAAGGTTCCTAATGCCCTTCAGGACCCCGGAGCCAATGGAAGACAAGTTCTGGATGGAGAGGGGTTTATCCTTGAATCCCTCAAACGTGTCCTTGATTGCCTTGACAATAGAATCAATGGCTTCTTCAATTGATTTCTCAATATCATCCTTTGATGCTTCAGTGGTTGTATCTCCCGGAGCATTGGTAGCAGCTGCAGTGGTTTCGTCAGTAGTAGCTTCAGTAGCAGCTTCAGTTGCGGCTTCAGTAGCTGCTTCAGTTGTAGGCTCAGTTGGTGCGTCAGTGGGAGCCTCAGTGGGCGCCTCAGTGGGAGCTTCAGTCTCAGCTTCAGTAGTTGTTTCTGCAGCAATGGTGGTTGTTAGTGCTCGAGCATCAGCATCATCGTAAAATTCTTCATCAGCCAAAGATTCTCTGAAGAGTCTAGCTCTGCTCTCTCTGGGTTGAATACTCCTGAGGACGGCCTCAACCTCCTGGTTCAGCATCCTCTTGTAGCTGGAGAACTGCCTGAGCATGACGGGGACCTGGGACTGGGAGAACCTGGCGAACTCTGTGAGGATCTCGATCTCTCTGGCCTGGTTGGAGCTCCGAGCTGGGGTTCGGAAGAACGGAATAGCATCCAGGATCCGGCATTGATCTGGCCTGGGGTGACCAGCTGCTAACAGGGGCAGAGCTAACAATAAAACCTGAAATTATAGATTAATGTAAAAAACCTGGAACCAGATATTTTCTATCAAAGCTTAAACCCTAAAACCATGAATTCATCATCAAAATTGACACCCTGAAACCGGATGTAGTTACAGGAAGCTTAAACCCTGAAACCAATATTCAAAATCAAAGAATAAACGCTGAAACCATTTATTCCTAATCCAAGCTTAAACCCTGAAACCAAATATCCAAAATCAAAGAATAAACGCTGAAACCATTTATTCCAAATTAAAGCTTAAACCCTAAAATCATATATTCGCAATCCAATCTAAAACAATGAAAGCATATATTTAATCAAAGCTAAAATAATCATAGCTTAAACCATGAAACTTTGCCAAAATTAAATGAATCCCTAATATCAATATATCTGCACTGTACAATGAAAAAAGCTCAAACAAGAATATTATCTTTAAAAATATTTGTTCATAGTTCTGCTTTGAAAAAAAAATGTCTAGGAATTGTCATTTTTATGATGCAATTTGGAATTGCTCATTGTCTTTCCTTGTTTAAAGGGATTGAAAGCGCAATTTCAAGTAACGGCCTCCATGCAAAGATGACAATGCTTGATTTTACAACGGTATCCTATAAACATTTGTCTGATTAAGTTCGAATTAGATATCCTTTATTTTGTTTCTTTAAACTGTTTATTTCCATTTGTGGTTTCCCTGCAAAAGTGATTGCACATTTCTTGTTTATAGGAAACCATGAAGAAATTATTTCTGATTATATTTAGATTTCTAGGATACCGTTGTATTGCTATCTTTGCATGGAGGGTCACTTGAAATTACATCTACAGTCAAATGAGAAGAAAATTAAAAATAAATTTTTTGAAAGAACAACTTATAATTATAAAAAGAATTGTTACCAGCTTCATGTTGAGAGGGCTGGAGGGTACTGTGACCTCCCTCCCCCCTCTCCCCCGTTTTATACTGACGCCGTTTACTATTTTTATGTTTCTATTTAAAGAATACCTATTAACCCTAGTGGTCGGGCTCTTTAGTTGCCAGGCAAAGTTGAGAAGGTGGGCAGAGGGGGGGGG